GGACACAGTCATTGCTGCGAACATAGAGGGACAATTAACGTTAGTTGACTTCTTGTGTGTGGATAGTTTGGTGGGGAGCATGCGGGCTCTGACCTGGTGAACTTTCATCACGTGTGGTGGACTTGGGCGTGATGACTGCTCGGCCATCTGGCCCTGTGGTGTTTGCTGCAAGTTGCGACTTCCTCAAACGGTTAAAGATAAGATGACTTAGGTTACAAGCGGGTTAATTGTTATTCGTACCGTCTCAATTTTCAATGTATTAATAATATTTGCTAATGGTAGTAATATATGATCCTCATTTTGCGTTACCTAGCGCTCAAGACTGCAACCATGAAAATTATGTAGAATAAAAACTAGGCGAGTGCCGAAACAGTTCGGCTAGGGCTCTAGGCTTCTAAACTCGTACAAGAATTCGTCGTCAAAGACAACAACAGCAACAAAATGAACGACTGTTCTATATGGCGTGAAACCATCAAATATCAGTGACGCACGATAGAGGGCAGTACCAACCTCATTAGTTCAGTGTTACTGCCATTGATCTAGCACCGTTAACAAATTGGAGACGTCAAGGAGGAGTTCAGCTCAAAACCGGGCTCGATTCAGTCTGTCAGGACATGAAAGTGGTAATGGATCTTCGGTATTCGGCATCCGGCGTTGGCGAAGAGAATGTACTGCATTGTCCAGGTCTGCTGCTATGGATCGCAACGAGTGGAGAAGTACAATCTGGGACATCATCGAGGCCGGTTAGATCAGTCACGATAGCAGCCGTAACAAGTCCAAGTAAGTGTAGGCATGAAAGGCCGTCAATTGGTAGGAAAACCCAGTCCATCTACAGATCGTGGTGCAGACTTTACTAACTCCCTTTGTAAATGACCTCATGGAATTCTCTACAAACGCAAAGCGCCTGAGAGAGAAAAAAGACAAAAGTTTGTTTCTGCCGACGCCAAATCGATAAAATAAGCAAACCGTTTCAGTGCTCTCCCATCCTTCTTTGTTTGTCATACAAACACCTGGAACGCGAACCTTAGAATTTATTGATATAATTAATAAAGTTTTGCGGACAACCGGCGTAAGTTTTGAAAAATATCGGGCTGCTTAATCACCCATTTATTCAACCGGAAAATGGTCCGATCTGTTCAAAACTGTAGTAACAATATAAACCTGGTACTGTAAATATAGGCAAAATAAACAACAAAATTAGCCTATCATATGAGGATATTTTGAACGAAATACCAGATGGAAACGTAACTTGTGCTGTAAAAAAGCAGTTTCTTGCCCATTAATACGCAAATGTTAATCTGTAATTAAAACATTTTGACAGATTCCTTGTTTGAGCGATTACATTTTAAATCACCTTGCATTTGACAGTCCCTGGACTATCAGCAATGAAATGAAAAGATTTTTTTCCGTTCATGTTTAATGATTGCGAGCCCCAGATCTTAATGGGTTCCTCCTGAATTTTGGATAAGAGATGTGAAAATAGTGACCAGTGCTTATGTCAGCACTTAAGATTCGTAGTGACTATCGACGCGCAATGAAATATTCCTAGTGGAAGAAAAATGTGTATGTTCTAAATTCAACAGCGTTCGATGCCTTCCGTATACAAGACATCCACTGCTAAATGGCTAAGTATTTCGTATGCACTGTCCGTATGATAAAATTGATGGCGCGAAACGAACTCTTAACGAGACAACAGGTCCGTCGAGGCAATGAAGTAGCGATAGGTTGAATTCAAGTAAGTTTTCTGAAAGCCTGTTGGTGAAATATATCTAAGCCCCTGTAAGCCGTATTCCTGTTGCCTGACTTTGTTGAACAAATTTTAGGAAACAAATAAAGAGAAGGCAGGGTTGAACATCAAAAATAACTGTTCGGTGCAATTGACCATGTGTGACTGCGCCCGATAGGTGAGAATAAGGCACCAATGCCTTGACCTAATAGGTTAAACAGTTTGACCACGGAAAGAAACCCCTCATATTGTATCTGTAATTAAAGAAGCGTTTTAAAACCCCTGCTCTCTATAGAAAATTTCGAAAAATACCGTGACTTTTCTATTCACTGAGTACAAAGATGAATATCTTGACTTATTTTTTTCTATAAATTTCACTTAAACGTTTATGAGGAGCAAGTATCTATAGAAAAAAGCATACGGTATATGTGAACACGTTGCATCGCGTTTGGCCTTTCTGGAGACCGAAAAGGCTTTTCGTTCAACAGATGGCATCATAGTGCGTGTGCAATCTCATGTTCCTATACTCCAAGACAATAAATTTTGCATTTGCCTTTAATACTGATTTTTAATCTAAAACTTGCTTAGGATCTTGATTTAACATTGCATGAGATCCATCACAGATATATGGTTTATTACTTATGAGTAAATATCCAACGAAAACCACAGAGGACTGGTGAAATGAGTTTACCAAAGCCGCATTGCTGGTTTCCTAAAGCAGCAAGTTAAAACCACCAGTAAGGATGTCCGCAACCATTCCTAAACGCTCGCGCAATGTGAGGGCAGTTGCCGATATGTTCTGTTGGTGGATTGAACGTAGTCCTTCGTATAGACACTTTGTCTATATGTAGGTGTTGCCTTATGAAATGCTGTATTAGACCTATATTTGCAGGCTCTGGTGAAGGCATACACAGTTCTGGACCAAAGCGGTTATTTTTGTGACCGGCTTTCACAATCAGAGTTGAACTCCTTAGGACATTTTCCTTTCACTCTGTAGTCAAATGCAACCGTAAACTTACATCAATGTTCTTAAAGAAACGTAAAAAATGTGCTGTGATGTAAAGCTTTTGATCCTTTTAGATACATGTATAAACAGTCGGCGCAGACCTTATTCGTTTTCATCCCTGATTTGCGTTACCAGTACAATTTTCCAACATGATTTCTTTAAATTTAGAATTTCATGCAGTGCTGAAAGTTGTCGGCGTATGCCTCAAATATATACTCTATGGAACGGTTTAAGTCAAATAAGATATTTTTTGTCCCGACAATAGGGCGTTGCAACAGGCCACGCATGGTTTTTTATAAATAGTTTTTTAAATTTATAAAAAGCCGGAATTCTTTATTTGCTTGTCGTGTGAAGATGCGAGAACCAAAATGCTGGCCCATTTGAAACAAGCCAACGGTTCCGGCAGTTTGGTGTGAAATTAATTTGGTCACGCAGCGTTTGAGAATGAGGCTTGACGAGGCAGTTCAAAGCGACATCAATAAGTTCTCGGAACGTGGGACGAACGAAGGGAATAAATGCACGGAAAAGCGAGCCGAAAGATGAAATATTCCTGATCACTTTACTATGCTGGAATTTATTAATATTACAAAAGTTATTCATTGCCGGGCGTGACCGCGCATCACGCAAATGAAAGGCATGAAAAAAACTGTTAAAAATACGATTGCTGATGTAGCATAAACGTGCTAGTGATTTTGTCAACTAATATTGTCTGCGGCGATGATTGAAGCATAATCGAACATCTAGCCTTCAACCAGGCACTTTAAAAATCCTTTCCTTCAAGAATGTGCACTATTGTTCGATCTTCTTTGTTAGCGAGAAAAAAATGTACAATTCGTGTAAAGATTCTTTGACGATAATGAAATAACTTTCCGGCATGTGATTTTGGGAAGAATTTTTCATGAGCGCATACTGGCTTTCGATTGTACGTAAAAAGAGCAGATAGTTGCATAATTCCATCGTATAAATTAACACTAAAAACGGTTTTCTATTTGAATTATAGAAAATTATGCTTTCCAGAGATTACTAAAACCGTATTTGGCCGTTTGCGATCTTTTATATTTTCTAAAGAATGTTCCTTGGGTTAATGCTATTCAAGTTAAATTAATTAACATGCGATTTTTTTCTACTTCAGTTATCTGTGGGTATTATCCAAGCCACTGGCCTTCCCGCAATGGACATGTGCGGTACTTCCGACCCCTACGTGAAGCTTTTTCTTCTACCGAATAAGAAGAAGAAGTATGAGACAAAGGTGCACCGAAAAACACTAAGTCCGGTGTTCAACGAAACTTTTGTTTTCAAGGTACGCAAGTTTTCTCTACTACTTTGCTGTAATCTTCACGTAAAGTCACTTTTTATAAAGCAACTTCTATTAATAGGAAAGGAAAACTGTAAATTGCATCCAACTCCTAGTATGTTTTCTGACATAAAGCACAGCTGTTGGGGTAAGAAAACCGGAACAACTCTATTAGATAAACGCAAGAAGCAAGTAATTTGATATATGCGTTTTAATAACTGTAGTTTTTTGGCAAGCATTTGGCAACAACCGAAACGACTGTTGTATGGATTGTACGCCGAACCAGATAACTAGTTTTAGCACCGAAAGAATTCATTCGGAATAATGTATGACGTTTAATAAGAAAAGCATATATGCATTCATGAGCAAAACTGCCAAGGAATTCCAAGTAGTAGCAAAGTTTTATAGGTGAATTTACCTGATAACGTGTTTAACGAATATTTATTAAGTTGAAGATTATATGGTGTCTTAAAACTACTTGCATCTATTAACAGTTCGATAATTTCTTTAAAACTAAATATCCGGCAATAATATTTAGGCAGTAATCAACCTCATTTTTCGCTGATTTATTTGTAAAGAAACTTTGTACACAGTGTTTACTATACAGTTCAGCAATACAAATAAAATAGAAAAACTGTAAACCGGTAAACAGAACACTGTCTGAGACTCTGATGACAGGAAGCTCCGAGGACAAAGCTCGGGAGGCCGCATTTAAGCGAGTGGAGGTTGATAAAGCTGTAGGTATATATATCAGAAAAACTAAGTATTCGTGGCCACAGTACAAGTGGACAGGTATCCTCACAAAACAAAAGAACTGTGAAAGAAAAAAAACCTGAAGGAGAGTCGAAAAAGCCTTAAAACGCAAAACCCATCGGTAAGCCAAGGCAAAACACGAGGACTGAATGCTAAAGGCCTGAAAGGTTCTCTGTCCAGTATACACCGTTATTTTAATGAACGTTTGAGTGTAATCGTCCACCACAGAAGGCAAATCAATGGAGTAACAGAAAAACGGATCAAATATAGGATGACTTTCTGTAAGGTGGTCAGAAGGTGGACTGCAAGCGACTGGAAACAAGTCATCTTCTCCGATGCATCTCCATTTTTTCTATTTACCAAACACAAAAATGACGTTTTGTGGGCTTCAGGTCGTAAAATGGTTGAGAGTGGTGGAGTTCCAAAGTATTGTCCTTAAGTTATGGTGTTGGGAGGACTCCCTGACATTCATGTTGTACCAAAGGCTCAAAGAGTGAATGGTGCGTATTAAAGAGTGGATACCCTAAAGAAAAACCTGTTTGAAAGATTGAAAAATCCTTGTGAGCAGGTCAACATTTGGAGATAAACTCGTTGGGGACATGCCAAGGAAAGATTTTCTGCGAAACCGAGCCGCAGCTCATACCGTCCTCGAGACCCAGAGGTAGCTGCTAGGGAAAATGCCACATTTCTGAACGCAAGAAATATGGCTAGGAAGTAGTTTTGACTTGAACCCAATTGAAACTCTAAAGTCAATCTTTGTCAATATGGTCGACACGAAACCGTCCGCTCCTACTGCTGTTGCTGGATTGAAGTGATCCCCGCCGGAAACGCCTTATGACACGTCCCTTTGGAGACCTTGCAGAATCTCCTCCATTCGATGTCAAGCAGCGTAGAAGCTGTATTAAAAGTCAAAGGAGAATTTCCTGTAAAGTAAAGAGGGCGTGGCTGTGTTATTAGGATGCAAAACATTTCGGGACACCCCATCTATTTGGGAAACACATCTGTTCGGAAAGCAGTCGTCGCGCCTATACAATTGCATTCATACGGAAAGCAGGAAGGTTGGACAGGACTTATACATGTCTCGTAACTAAAACTCGTCGTTTCCGCACCATCTGCATAGGCAGACGAAGGAGGACTAAGCGAGTACGCGAAACAAACTCACTCTTACGTACAGGAAGTAAACAACTGTCACAAACTGTGTGAGCGACACGCTATTAACACATGGCGCCGGCGTAGCCGCGGAAGAGTTATTCGCTTGTTGTATAGTCATTGTCTCAGTTGTTGCTAGCAAGCGATGGCGAAAGCCCTAAGAGTAGTTGGCTATTCTCCGGTAAGAAGCGCGATAGGCTTCGCTGGCATCGACGCAGTAAATCGTATCAATAAGTTGAGCGGGAAGAGAAGTCGAGATCGATGTAGTTTCACATGTACTTAGACAGATCCGTGTGTTCAAGCATCCTCTTTCCCAGACATCTCTTTGTTTCGCCAGTGTTTCCTGCTCCACAACAGCAAGGAAAGAGCAAATTTAAATAGATGTGGCTTTCATCCGAAGACAATAAAAGTTTCCGCCCACGCTAATTAGTTACTTTATGCACTTTCTAAAATACTGTGCATGTGCATAATGTATGTATAACATGAGACGAATCTTCTGTGATGTACAGGTTAAGAGAAGAGTTCAAGGCGTTTGAGTGAGCGAGTGAAATATAAATTATTTTAAAGCGAATTGCCGTCTGTCATACGCATATCTATTCAAATAAAAGCAAACAGAGTGGATTTGTATCCATATTTCCCAAACTGTTCTGAATGGAGGCAGATAATTAAATGCACACTGAGATAAGCGCTTCTTTAAAAAATTTCCAATAGCATTAGCTTAATTGCTCGAAACTCAATGTCAGAATGACCCTTCAAAGTAATACGTTAATCTCTTAAAACTAGGCAAAGCTTTTCAAAAAAATGTACCGTACTTTCACGGCTTCCTTTTGCAGTAAGATACTTTTTTTACTAAAATGACTATATTCCGACAGCAATAGAGTAGTTCCGCGGCTAGTAGTTGTCTGATCCAGGTCCTTTTTGCAGTAGTTGCACCGTCATTGAAATGTGGCGTACATTTTTGTTATGCATCTGATGATATTCTGAATTACTGATTAGTTTTTAACATTCTAACATACATGTATAGTTTTACTATTTAAGAAACCTCGCTAACGAATGGATGTAACCACCTTGGTTATATTATCTTTTTGGATTCATACATATGAGCAACATATCCTATCTTGTCTGTCCATAGATAACCATTATATAACTTGAAGCATTAGTATACTTAGTGGATCAAAACCCGCTTGCGCTCCTTCGTCATTATCTATTTGTCCATAA